TTCATATTCCATGAACATATCCTACTAGGTTTGGATACTGAAGGCCTAGTGAGCACAAGAACTGAGGACAGGATAGGATTGCATTGCATGTGTTTTTTAAAAATTCTCTCGTGAGATAAAACTCAGATGGGATCACTGAGTTTGGAAATCATCCCCTGGTACATGAGTGCCCACTTCAAGGAAGGTATTTGGGTGTTAGAGTGCCTGTCTAGAAGCACGAGGCCCTGAGTTCAAACACCAGTGCTGCCAAAAAAAAAAAAAGAAAAAGACACAAAGGGTATTGGGTGGAATTTTCTAAAACACCATGATCCTATTCTGGGTCTGCCTCAATTCCATCACAGAACTCAAACAAGAGTGAAGGAAGCACCAGGGTGTGTCATAAGCATAACAGGAAGATGGACTCCAGGAAACAGTGGGTGCCTTTGTCTTTTACCCTCCCTACATCTGAGGACACTCAGAGTGCAACTTAAGGACCAGCCTGTTACCCAGGCTACCAGCACATGTGGGAAAAACATCAGAGCATAAGAACCGAAAATATTTTTGGGCATTCTGAATACAAAATTTCTTCCAAATTTTCAAACATCCTATAGATATATTAGGAGGCATGGAAATAAAATTGTTCCTGGGCTTAAGCTGAACGTTTGGATGGATTTGGAATAGACACTGAAGGGAAGTCAGTGGGAGCCCATAGCAAACATTACTGCCGGGGGTCTCAGTAGGGGATGCTATTTTCGACATAGGATGATCAGAACCACAAAGGGCACTCAGAACCTCTGTGGGGAACAGAGTATGACAGAGACATCCAAGAACACAATAGGGCTCAGAAGCAGTTGGGTTCTGGAGACCCATTTATTACAGCAGCTCAACACAGGAGCAGGATCCCTGAGGCTCTGCAGAGGCAGACCTGCTAAGGTCCTGGCTTTCCTGGACTTTCTCCCCTTGTGAGTCTCTCCTCCCTCTTTGTGGTGGCATAACATGTTCTATAACTCTATCATGAAGTTCTACTTTAAGCACTTTGTAGCCCATATGTAATCTAATGTTCCTAGAGAAATATAAAATTTGTGGATATTTTGCATAATTATTGAAATGTGTTTATTGGTGTCTATCTCCGAAATTGACAACTAAACATCATTATTTACCATATATTCCTTTCCCAAATGTGTAAAACCACTTTTAGAATTTAGATCATTTCCAAACCCCCAAATAGATCAGAAGAGTCATTAACTCTTTCCCTTTTGTGCAGGGTTGTGGAGCAAACCAGGGATCCATGCATGGTGAGAAATTGGCTGTACCACTTGAACCACACCCAGTGCTTTTCCTAGTAGTTTGGTTTTGAGATAGGGTCTCTCTACTTGTTCTCTCAGGATGCCTCTGTGTCCTGAGTTACTGGGATTATAGGTTTTCCTCCAACACCCGGCTTCACTATCACTTTTGATTCTTTCTTTGTTTTCTCCTTGCCTACCTCCCTGTGAATATAAATCTATTTCCTATCTTTAAGCCTTTCTAAATTCTGGATATTTTTGCAAAGTGTAATGAAGCAAATACAAAGACTTTCTAAGTATTTTTTTAGTCTCCTTAGTAATGTGCCAATAGACATGTATATGATAAAATATTAAAATAATATTTTTGTATGAGCCATCCTTTTATGTATATAGCTAAGGAAGTTGAATCTATATATTGAGAAAAAAATTTTCACAAGAGAACTCTTAATAGAAGCATAAAAGAAGAAATAATTCTGTATCCATTATCTCATGTAGTCAACCATACTGAATTATCGCAATAGAATGGACTAGTTAACACCCATAAAAGGGCTGTTCAAAGCATCCACATCAGAATATGGTTAAGTATTGAAAATATCTTTCACAAAGATACAAGCCACCATAGGCTATGGGTGTGTTGATAGGAAATATCTTCACTAGCCACATCCATACACAGAGAAAAGAGAAAGTTAGTTTCCCTGGTGCCTGGAATTAATAGTAATTACTTCCCATATCGATACTCTGTTTCCTCTTTCATAAGTATGATGTTGCCTATCTCATAAACCATTTTAAGGTTAAATAAATTAATGCAGTACAGATTCTTTGATTCTGTTATCAGTTCATGTTAGGTATGACATGAAGATGATGCAGGAGGATCCAATCAGAAGCAGCTTCCTCATGACATCACAGTCTGTCCAACTGCCCTGGAACTTTGTGAAGGCTGAGGATCAGCTATCTGTCATGAGGCTATGGAAGAAGGGACATCAATGGAGTAGACAGTTGGAGGAATCTAGTCCAGCTCTGTGGGGAAGGCATGTCAGGATAATTGAATTCAGGGTCATGTGTCCACTCTAAGTAGTACAGTCACAGGGATTCCACTCTCAACCTCCACCTTCAGCTGTGTTGAAGGAATGGTAGGGTAACTGCTGGCTCCTGTGTATTTGCTTTGGACACTGTAAGCTGCCTCCAGATACCAAAGATATACTCTGCCAAAGTAGTTTTCCAAAAACCTAGGCAGTTGACCTGCCAAAGCATAGGGCAGCCAGTTTCTGATGGATATCAGTAGCAGAAGGGATTTCTAGAAGTAGGTGTTTTCTTCTGGTTTTGGTGTCTCATCATGATACCATAGACTTCTGCATCGCAAGGTCTGAGAAAAGGATTCTTAAAATTCTTGACCTAGCCTTGTACTCACTGTGCTGCCCAGTTTAGTCTTGAGATCTTTTTGTGATCTAGGACAACCTTGAACTGACTGTGAGACCCTAGACTGTCTGAAACTCACTGTGCAGTTCAGCTTGTCATTGAATTCTGGCTGTTGCCCAGTTAGTCCTTGGACTCACAATTCAGCCCAGCCTGAACCTGAAATCCTTGTGGGTCCACGCAATCCTTTAAATGCACATGCAATCCAGTACTGCCTTCCATTCTCCATGCTCCCCAGATTGGTTTTCAGTCATAACACCATCAGCATGTAATTCTTACTTAATCAACTTTGCAAGGATATCAGACATTTGCGCTGTGACCCTGTTCCTGTTTATAGATTCCCAAGGATTTTGTGGATGTTTTGGGTGCTATACATGGGTGATAATGTCTTTGATAATGAAATGAGAACTACCTTGTCTCTAGCACATTAGGAAATTACAGTGGATCAATCATGACACTAGTTCAGTTTTGAGAGGGGAGATAGAAAAATTGAAATTCGAAAAAGCCAGCAGCCCCCTAAGGTCTGTTGCTGCATTTGAGATTATTATGATGTGTGTTTTCACTTTGTGATTCAAAAGACATATTTGCCTATTGAATGTTTCAAATTAGGATGAAGTTTCACAGAAGTGTCCAGATCTTCTTTTTGCTATGAAAATTTAGCAGATTAAAGTGTAAATTTAAAATATTTTCTCTCCTGTATCTGTTTCAGCCTGAAGGTTTGCATTCAAAATAGCAAATGGCAGCGTTTCCTGTGATATGACATCAAGGACGACTGTTTTACCCTGGATCCTTGAGTTCTGTGGACATATCTGTGTAGTACTAGTAAACTCACATAGGAAACTAATGAACTATTATCCACTGGCCAGACAATGGCACCAAGTGTCTGTCATCCAGGTTGCTAACAGCTGAGGACCATTGGGGCTGCAGAGGAAGTACCTGGTCAGAGGATCAGTCAGAAGTGACTTTTCATGACATTACTTTCAGTCCAACTTCCCTGGCCAGATATTCCAATATGAAGCAATTTCCCCATAACATAGCAATCAGTTCAAATTTCCTGGAACTTTTAATAGAGTGAGGTGCAGCTATATTGCTAGAGGCCATGAAGAAGGGACAACATGGGGTACCCACCTGGAGGAACCTAGACCACCTCTGAGTGGAAGAGATGTCATGTTCCTTGGTGAGAAATGACAATGAGATGTGAATTCAGGGTCAAGTGCCCCCTCTCAGCACCAGAGTTGCAGGGTTTGCAATCTCCACTTCCTCCATCAGCACTGATGAAGCCTGGAGCAGTAGAGTCGCTATGGACCCTATGCAGAGTTTGGACTTGGTCAGCTGCCTCCAGATTCCAAAGATCTAGTCAGCCTTCATAGTTCTTAAAGAACATGGACAGTTGACCTGCTGAAGCATAGGGAAGCCAGTGTCTGATGGATTTCAGAAGTGGTATTGGTGTCTCAGCATGGTGTCATGGGACTTTTCCCTCCCAAGGTCTGAGAAGGGGTTTCAGAGTGCACACAGGCTTAGCCTTGTCGTCACTGTTGTTCCCTATTTGTATTGGAGCTCATTTTGTGACCTAGGCATCCTTGAACTGCCTGTGAGTCACAGAGTTGTCTGAAACTGTGGGATTCAGCATGCCATTGAACTCTGCTGCCCAGTCAGTACATTTTAAATATTACAGGAAGATAATGCTCATGTGATAATAGTTCATAAATTAATTATGAAGTGTAATTTCACATTCTTTGAAAATCCCCAGGGAGTGTGTTAGAGAGTGTGTGTGTATGTGTCTGTGTGTATCTTGGTTTGTGTGTGTTGGTGTGTGGAGATGGAAGGGATCTGCGTGTTTATGTGTGTGTGTGTTTGGGAAGAGAGATAGAGACTGAGACAAAAACCTATCTTTTGAATCCTGCTTGTGAAGGATTTTCGTCACCTAAAAGATTCCCCTATGTTGGCCAAAGGTTGACTTGTAAGAGCTTAATTGACTTGCCCAGGGTAAAACTTTTAGTAATGGATGAAAGATATAGAACAGCTGGAGGACTACTTTTACTGTCAATCTTGTGTCCTTGTCTCTATAACACAACACTAGGTATGGCTTCTTAGTTTTTTTGGAAATTATCAAAATTACATGTCACTTGAAATTTGAGTGGTTTTCATCCTTTGTCCAAAATAACCAACTGCAAGTTTAAGTGAACCTCTGTCCAGTAGATGGCACAAAAGTGTTCCAGAGTATGGCTGTAGAGCAGAGGGAGATCGGTTCTGGAGGAAGTGCTTCAAACCAGGATTGAGTAACCAGTGTCTTCTTCATCCTGTCTCAGCTACAGTAACTGCAGCATGGACTTTGAAATAGCAGAGACTTCTGCCAGGACAGGAGATACGGGTCAATGGGCACCACAGTTAGAGAAGATTGGCAGGATCAACCTGTTCTATCATATTGGTAAGATGTCTCATATGCCTTTGGGTTGGAGAGCTGATAGAGGAGAGAGAGAGAGAGAGAGAGAGAGAGAGAGAGAGAGAGAGAGAGAGAGAGAGAAACATGGAGGAAGATAAAGTTATAGACACAGAATATCCTCATTAAAGAGGATACCTGGTGGTAAACTTCTCATGGTAACCTAGGCCACCATTTTTTTTTATCATCAAAGATGGTCTTCTGAGAGGTGAACTGATGTGGCCAATGTAAAACTACAAGTAATGGCTGAAGAAGTGTAAAACACCGGTGGCATTTTTGACCTCTCTGCAGGTGTCATTTCCTCTCTACATCATATCTAGTGAATCCTTGTTCCTGTTTTAGAAATTATTAGAAATCACATCCCATTTCAGCTTCATGCAAGGTGGTCCCAGAAAGCTCACCTGGGACATTGGAGGAGAACAATTATCAACTGGCCAGATGATGGCATCCAGTGTTTAACATTCAGGTTGCTGACTGTTGAGGAGATTTGGGGCTGCAGAGGAAGTACCTGGCCATATGATCCATCAGAAGCAACTTCCACATGACATCACAATCAGTCCAATTCCCCTTGCCAGAGGAGCCAATCGGAAGCAAGTAACTGATGACATCACAGTACAACTCTCCTGGCCAGAATATCCAATCAGATGCAACTTCCCATGACAACTCAGTAATTCCAACTTCCCTGGAACTTTGGAAAGTCTTATGGGCATCTATCTGGCTAGATGCCATGGCAGGAAGGACAGAAATTGTGTAGCCACCTGGAGGAATACAGCACACTGTGTGGAAGACATGTCATACTGCTTGGTGAGTAGCAAACATGAGAGGTGAATTCAGGATTAAGTGCCCAATATCAGCACCACAGCTGCAGCATTTTCATTCTCCACCTCCTCCTTCAGTTGTGGAGGAGTTTGGAGTGGTAGAGTGGCTATTGGCTCCTACTCAGGATTTTTGATTCTGTCAGCTTCCTACAAATACTGAAGACGTACTCTAAATTGTTCTCCAAATATCTTGGCTGTTTGACTGCCAAACCATAGGGCAGACAGCTTAGTATGGATATCAGAAGTAGAAGAGATTTTTAGATGTATGTGGTTTGCTCTGGCTTTGGTGTCTTGGCATGGTACCATGGGAATTCTGCCTCCCAAGGTCTGAGAAAATGTTTCTGAATGTACCCAGGCATAGACTTGACAGAATGGCAGCAGAGTACCAGACTTACCAGATACTGAAAGAACCAAGATCTTGATGTTGGGCTTCCCAGGATCCAGAACTGTGAGTGGTAATTGTCTGTGATAAGATGATCACTGTGTGCGTTGTGTTTTCTTACGTTAGCACAGACTAAGATAGGTGTGGGGCATCTTTCACTTGTAGCTAAAGGTGTGGAGGCAGCTGTGGAAATAAGCATGTTAGAAATGATTTGGAGGCAATCATAGATTTTCATGATTGCAGCACTGAAAGTGAGTCACGTGGGGCCTGAGAACTTAAAAATGTGGAAAAGCTCATTAAGCCAAATAAAAACTGCTGGTTAAATCTCTTAACTTAGTCTCCTCATATTTTACCATGTGTGGGTTGGAGGGAAGTTTGTTGGTTTTTTCAATCTTTTTTTTTTCATTCTTGAATAGAATACATTCTTTTCACTATTATTGTTAATACATATTGAAACTTAGGTGCACATTTCTTGACTCCTGTTACATTTTGATTAAGAAATACAAAGTAATTTTGCAATTCTTTATTTGGAAATAAATATGCTTTATTTTCTGCATTTGAACTGTTCCATGGGAAAACTAGAGATTTTGAAATTATGAAAGATTAATAAGTAAAATAAACTGAGTTCAAGTCTTGTTCATGTTCACTTTTGAAATATACTTATCTGAAAAGCTGTAAATATGGTTAGGTTTATAATTAAAAGGAAATTAAATGCTTGCACAGAAAAAAGCCTCAGGTGCTCAGGTAAAACACTGAAGGTAATTTGTTGTGGTGTGTTGAGGTTAGGTTAAATGAAAAATGCAGGCTTTGCTAATGAAACTGATCACCTAGACAAAATTTCATCACATGCAACAGAGAATTAAATGAGAAAGGAATGGAAGCAGGAACCTTAGAATGACTGCAGTGTTCATAAATCTTATCATCCAATCTCTCATTAAAAGGTCGCTGTGAAGGTGAGACCCAGGGTCTCACTCCTTTATTCAGTTTCTTGGGAGGAGGAGTGGAGGGGCATCATCCTTGATGCAGATGAAATACTGCCAAGGTTCTTGACAACGTCTGTTTCACTCTGTCATTGATGCATGACAGGAACCTGTGTGTTGGGACAAGGAAAGTTCTTGTGCTGGGTGGTTCCCCCAGGACAGGTGCAGCTCCCACAGCTGCTCCCAGATCCATCAATAGCAGAGTCAGCAGTAATTGCAGGGACTGTGCAGTGCTGGGGCCTCCTTAGCTCAGCACATTCCCTTTCTATGTGAGACCAGTGTCTATGGGAGTACATGGAAGATTTCAGGGCCCCTGTGTCCCAGATCTGTGAAGATTTTCATACATTTTACTGAACTCTCATTTTAATTGACTTAGGGTGAGGCATTCTGGGGAAATGGAAGGCATTCTCCAGTGTTGACACCAGAAAAAAGACTTATGAAAACATGACTATGAGCTGAGGGCTCACAGAGGGAATTACTGGGGTTTCCTTGTTATCAAAGACTATGCATCCAACCACAGACCAGATCCTTCTGCATTTCCAGAAGTCTCTCTATCCATGATTTGTTATATCCTGGAAAAGCTGATACAGAAACACAGCAACACAGAGCCAGTTCCCCAAATCTAGATTTTTGATGATTATTTAACAGAAAATGTTGTAGTGTTATTAGACTGTCAGATACTAGCATAAAGTACAAAGAAAATTTATAGATAAGGCCAAAAACGTGATCAGTGGGCAAATATATTGGATCAAGAAGAGCCACACTTATAGATGAGCACCATTGACTCACAATTGCAATCCTTGCAGGATGGAAGGCTAAGATCCAGAGAAACCAGGCTGTCAGGTCATAAATTTTTGTGGGAACCAAAGTCAATGGAAAAAAGCTTGATATTCTGGTATGTGTCTATCATCTAAGCAGCAGACAGAACCTTAAAATGGAGGATCATTTGCCTGGGCAAAAAAACATGACACTATCTCTAAAATAACCAGAGCCAAAAGGGCTGAAATTGTGGTTTTAAGAGCAGAGTACCTGAATCTTATTCACAAAGCCCTCAATTCAAACCTCAGTCACTCAAAAAAAAAGAGAAAGAAATTTTTTTAAAAGAGCCACACATACATTTACTACCCTGCACCATCCTGATCCCCTAGGAATACACAGAGAAGCGAAAATCACTGACTATGTCACATCCTGCTTTCCCCCTCTGCACTAATGTGCATGCTTAGCCTTAAACATTCCCACATAGACTGTGCTGTTAAATACTGCACACCCTGCACAACCCCAAATTCTTTAGGAACTAAGATGCCAGGACAGAAAGGAGGAAAGATCACCTGGGAGTTTGTGACCCGATTTCCTTTAACAGTACAAGGCAAAGCAGTCTCCGTATGAGACAGAGACAGAGGACTTACCCTTTTCCCCCATTCTATCCTCAGGGGTCTTCCCTATGCAAAGCTGCTCCCAGGCTCAGGCTGAAAGTCCAGTCATGTGTGAGAAGCCCAGTATCCTCAGAGGAGCCTTCAAAGAGCATGGAAGTCCTTGGGATGCTCCTCTGCCTGCTGGCAGCTCCCTCCTGTGAGTTTATCTGGGGACTCAGGAGAGGGACCAGAGCAAGGGCGTTCTTGTGTGTTTGACTGTTGGTGATGATCCTTGTCCCAGGTGTCCTGTCACAGGTGCAGCTGCAGGAGTGAGAACCTGGCCTGGTGAAGCACTTGCAGATCCTGTTCCTCACCTGCACTGTCTCTAGATTCATTTTAATCAGCTATGATATGAACTGGATAGGGTAGGGTCCAGGAAAGGCTGGAATAGATGGGTATCATATCATGTGGTGGATGTATACGTAATAATCCCAACTCAGCATCGGCAGGGAGACCGCCAAGAGCCAAATTAAATTAACACTGAGAACCCTGAGAGTTGAGGTCACAGCCACGTATTAGTGTACACAAAACCCAGAGTTTGGAATTCCATGAGGGCGCACATAAACCTCCTTGCAGTGCGCTCATGACCGGCAGGGGGCGCACAGCACACACTAGCACAGGGCGCCCCAGGATCAGGTGCAGAGGGATGCATGAACTCTCACATCTGATGCTGGGGTTTCTCAGCCTCCCATCTCCCCCAGCACCACCAGGCACTGTGATTCTGTAGACAGTTCCTACCCCAGAATATCAGATTGTTTTTTTTTTTCTAGAGGTCAGGCTTGAGTGAAATTTCCTATATCAGTATGTTATGACAGTGATAATAAGGAAAGCTAAGTTTTCAAGGAAGTTTACTGCATGATTACATTACGTAACATGTCTATAAATATTTAATGACTAATGGTTTTCTTCATCTGCAAATCGATCCTGTGTGCTCTTCCCCATGAGTTCCTCTCAATCAATCGTAGTCCACTCCGGGTCCTCCCCTTGGATTCAACAGGACCACATTGTGCATGTTGATATTCTGTCCACATATCACCAGAAGTTTCCACCCAGAGGTCTTTTAAGAATGTCTGGAAAATTTTCACTGTCACGGTTAAGAACAGGATTTCCACACTGGCCTCAGTGTTTACAGACCTTACAGGCTGTGAAAGATCCTAAAATGACAAGACCATACCAACAGGAAGAGATTACTTGATATAACATATGAATAAGGGTGATTCTGAGTAACTGAGATAAAACCCTAAAGTGATCAATATCCATAGATAGTTTTGTTCCTTCAGAATGAACTTGGATACATGTAATCTGTATTTCAGTGTAATTAAAACAGATACACATTGTACCTGTCAATGCTTGTCAGCAGAGGCAGAAAAGCCCACTCTTCAGGCAGGTGTATTTG